GGCAGCGATATCACAGGGCCAAGCCTGACAGTCCGGGAGGGAGGCCCAGGCATGGCTCACAGACGGCAGGAGGAGGGGTCTGGGACAGTGGCTGGACTGTCCTGGTACTTCTCATAGCTGAGCCTCCAGAAAGCTTGTGCACCTTGACACGTATTTGGGAGGGCACTGTAGGCTCTGAGCCTCTGAGGCTGCTTTGGAGGACCGAACACATTCAGAGGCCAACTCAGAGGCCAGAGAGGCTCAGTGACCTGCCCAACAAAAGGGAGCCTGGAGTGTGCAGCACAGGGGCCTGTCTGTGGTGGCTGCGAATAATAGGGGGTGGGGCTGCCGCGCGCCTGTGTGTGTGTGTGTGTGTGTGTGTGTGTGTGTGTGTGTGTAGGTCCCAGGGGACAGGTCCACCTCTGGGGATGGCTAAGGGGGCCCCTGCCAGGCAGACCAAAGCCAGATGCCGTGAAACGCCGCTACCGTGAGAACAGCAACGGAATGTCTGGGGGTGCCTGGGAGAGGAAGGGAGCTGTTGTGCGGATGGGTGCTTGCTGAGACAAGGTCTCCCCAGTTCCTCTGTTCCCCTCTTGCTCACAGGGATTTCTATCCCCAAAGGCGGGCCCAGACCTCTGGGGATGGGAGGCCTCCTGCACAAAGTGCCCTGGGGTGGAGGCTTTTATCAGGGGCACTTCCCGCCCACCCCACCCCTACCCTGCCCCCCACCCCCGAAAGTCTGCAGGTGCAAACTGCTCTCCACATGCATTCTGTAAGTTTGGGTTCCTTTAGACGTCAGGAGGGACCTTTACACAATGTCCTGTGATTTTCTAAGGCACCCAGTGCCACGCCAGCTTGCGGAGGTGAGAGCAGGGGGCGCCTATCTGTCAAGGGCAGGGCTGTCCCAAGAGACCCTCCTCCAAAGGCCCCAAGGATTGGTGACCCTATATTCTGTCCTTCAGCCTGGAACAACTTTGAGAGCGAAAGGGGAGCATTGCTAGCAATCATGGGCATAACCGGGGCTGTCCTGGGCAAACCAGGCTGCATGGGCACTCTGTGGAGTGGACGGCACGGCATCAGCAGGGAAGGTGCAAGCAGGTGGGGACCCCCTCATGAGGGCCAGTGACGTGTCTTGTGTCCATACACAGCTCCTTGGGTGCCCCGGAAGGAGCCAGTACCTCCCTTCCTGGCCTGGCTGACTGGCATCTTGGGGTCAGACAGGTGACAGACAGACTGTGGCTGTGGCTTGTGCTTCTACTGTTTTGAGTGCGGACGAGTGGGTGAGGGGCACCCTGGGTCTGTTCGACAATCCCTGGGTTGTGGCCCTACTAGGTGCCTTCATTTCCACAGGCTATGGTCCTGGCTGGCACACAGTGCTCTTGCTCAATCCCTCCACCTCTGGTGCTCATCACACCTGGCCTGGGGACCAAGGCCTGGGAGGAGGGAGACACCACTCCCCCTGGCGGCCCCCTTCTCTGCCTCCTTCTGGTTCCTTCAAAGTGGTTGCTCCCCGAAGCTCTAAGCCCAGCCCCGCTCTTCTCTTTGTCCCCCCATCCTCCTTCTGGGAGGCTGTACTCCATGCTCCTTCTTGGTCCCCTTTACCTAAGTCCCCAACATCCTCCCCCCCACCGACCGTATATTGGCACTTCCATACCAAGATATGCCAGCCCCTTGGCTTCCACATTCCTCCCCAAAGTTGCTGCTCAGAATTGTCCCTGGTCCTTCAAAGGAACCTCCCTTCTCCCAGGCCTGGGCCCAGTGCTGGGTGGTGTCAGGACCTCCTGGCCCATTCTCCCTTCTGCACAGTGGCTTAAGCCACTCCTGCCCCCACTGAAGGCCGCGCCCTCCAAGCCGCACCATGGCAGAGGCAGATCGGAATATTCTGTTTCCCTGCTTGGCCTCCGTCCTGCTTGCTCACTACTGCCAGATTCCACTCAACTCGGCTCCACCAGCAGCCCTGGGCTCTGCTCTGGGGCTCAGGAGGCTGGGCACAGCCCAGACTGGTAGGAAGGAAGGAGACAAGGACACGCCGGGGGCCCCACGCCAAGTGTGAGGAGCAGCAGAGATGGAGGGATTGAAAAAGAGCCAAAGGCCATGGAAATTTAGGGATGACTTCCTGGAAGAGGAGCACGCGCTCTAAACCTCAACAAAACAAAACAAAACAAAACAAAAACAAAAACCGAAAACAGTAGCCCTTTGCAGTGTTGACTGTAACAGTGAAAAATATGAAAAATCAAATGTTCAGCACAAGACTGCATCAACACGCAGTGGAATACTCTCAAATGGAATGCCCTACTGCTGCTACGATGAACTAGCACGGGCCGGTCTCAGCGACGTACCAGTGCGTGGAAAAGACAAACTGAAGAATGATGTGCACGGCATCATGCCATTTATATAAATCCTAAAGGCACACAAGACAATACTATATATTACTATGGATACAGATGTTTGTGGTAAGCGTATAAACATATGGATGGGAGTGACAGGCTCCAGATTTAGCTCTGGGGAGGGAGCGAGAAAAGGAGGGAGGGACAGCAGGAGGAAACTTACTTTTGGCTGTGTTCTATTTCTTTGAAGAGAGAAACAGAGAAAGGGATGTGAGGCGAATATGGCAAAATGTTAACATCTGTTCAGTATGGGTGATTATTGGTCCAGGACACTCAGTGTACATTCTCTCCTTATCTGTGCATCATTCTGTAACTTGAAATTTTAAAAGAAGTTAAAAGAACATAATGGGAGGTGGCATTCTGTACACAGCTTGATCATTCCCTATGGGGGGGTTGGGCAGTGTGAAGCGAGGGGCGGGAGGGGTGAGGGCACCCGGGACGGGGTACGGCTGGGCAGGGACAGGGCAGGGGTTGATTGGTGGGAGAAAGGAGCCTGGGTGGGGAGCTTGGCGGAGAAGATACTAAATCTGGGGCAAGTCTCTAAAGGGGGGGCCACACTGACTTTCTCCTGCCTGCCTACTTGCCCCCGCCAAGCATGGTGCTTAGAGTCCATGCCTCCCTGTACCCCTACAATACCTCTGGCTGGCTGATTTTCAAGTCAGTGATTTATTCAGTGAGCAGCTACTACAAAAGCGAAAGTTCACAGGGCGCTCATGACAAGCAATGGTTAGATTTACACCTAAGAGCTCACTGAACTCTCACGACGGCCCCACAGACGGGCTCTGCTACCATCACCACCACCCCGCTTTTCTAGATGAGGACACAGAGGCACAGAGCCGTTCAGGGACTTGCCTGAAGTTCCAGAGCCCATCAGGGAAGGAGCTGGGATGTGACCCCAGGCTGGCTGGTGCCAGAGCCTGTGGTCCTTGTTGCTGTGCCACGTTATTTGTCACATGCCGGGCACTGCGCTGGGCACTGTGCATTTGGTAACGACACGGCCCTTGCCCTTGAAGCGCGTCAGGCTGGTGTGGGGAAGTCAGACACCAACCAAGCAGCATGCAGATGTCATTATAGCTGAGGAGACAGGAAATGAAGAGAACCTTGTGCCCCAAGGGAGAGAATACAGAGAAGGACACACTGAGGCTGAGGCACCTGGGAAGACCTCTGAAGAGGGGACATTTAAACGGAGACCTAAAGTTAGCCAGGAGGGGTGGGGAGGGCAGGCGAGAGAGAGGGAAGAGCAAGTGCAAGGGCAGGAGCTCGGCTGGGGCAAGGAACTGGAAGAGGGTCAGAGGAGCCAAAGGATGCAGTGAGCAAGGGGCAGGGCAGCCAAGCTGCGAGGCCATCACTCAGGGCCCTCCTTCCAGGACGGGGACCACATGTCCAGATTTGCCCCCTCTGCCCCCACTGTCCCGCTTTGTGCCTGTAATCCCAGCATAAATATTCATAATGTCTCATTTCGGCTTGGACAATAATAAATTTGAAGGTCACCCTCTACAGGCCACGGTGGAGAGTCTGGATTTTGTTCCCAGGGCAGCTGGAAAGCATGGAGGGGTTTTAGCAGAGAGTGACACTCTAATTTATAATATATAAAGTTCACCGTGGCCACTGTGTGGCAAGGGCCTGCAGGGGAGCTGGAGGGATGCCGTTGTCCCCTTCCTGACCCCGCGGCAGAGTGTGGCAGGAGTGAGGCCTGGGAAAGGCAGGGGAGGCCTGGCTTGGGCCGGCTGAGGTTGCAGCCATGGGCAAAATGACTCAGGGCAAATGCGTCCCCAGAGATGATGCTCCCCTTCTCCTCCCTGTGCTGACCCGGCCCCAAGGCTTCCAGGAGGGGCCTTCAAGGGGTGGGACTAAGCCCCTGAGAACAGAACTGCAGGGAGGCTGCTGAAAGAAACAGTAAAGTTCTCAAAAGAACTAAAGGACTCAGTCAATGTCAGAAATAATGATGAACGATATTAACTTTCCCTTTGATAATTTGTTCCTATCCCCATCCTTCTCATCCCACACAGGCCTCCCCCCCGCCGCCCCACCTCCGAGAGGAGATTTCAGAAGCAAGAGCCCAGCACATTCACAGACACCAGGTGGGGAGGGTCTCCTAGCCATCTGAAACTGAAAGAGTTCCTGGAGAAAGCAGGTGGCTTCTAGTCCTTGCTCATGTACATGCTGCACCTGCATGAATGGAGGCCCACCCACTGTGCACACACCTCTGGGAGCTGAAATTTGTATTTGTGTGTGTGTGTGTGTGTAATGTTGGGGTGGGGTATTTAGAGGAACATATACACTGCTGACCACATACTATGGGGCAGACGCCCGCCCAGATGCCACAGATCTCTTATTAAACTTAGGGGTTCGCGAGTGTTAAAACAAGCCCGGGACTTGTTACGGCCATTCAGAGGGGGTAAGAACAGAAGTCAGAAGCCTGCAAAATGAATCCTGCAAGCACGAGGGGCCTCTCATTTGTCGAGCACAAAGTGCACCTGCCTAAGAGACCAGGAAGGTTACTAAGTCAACCTTCTGTGCCCAGGTGGAGAGTCACCTTCTGCCTGGGAAGGCCATCCAAGTCTGGGTGCCGGGAAGGCACAGCCACAGACTCAAGGAGGAAAGGAAGGGGCTGGTGGGAGACGGGTCACTCACCAAGCGGCAGGACGAAGAAGAAGGGGAACCAGCAGAGCACGAAGACGCCCACGACGATGGCCAGCGTCTTGGCCGCCTTCTTCTCGCGGGAGAACTTGAGCAGGCGCAGGGACAGGGAGCTGCGGAAGGTGTGGCCCTTGGCACTGCGCACCCCATCGGCGGCGCCTGTGCTGGCTCCGCGACAGTGGATGCGCAGCACCACCTCCGAGGCCTTGCTGCGCTCCCGCTTGACGCCCGCCTCGAGGCTGCGCGTGGTGCTTCGCGCTACCACGTACACGCGGCAGTACATGACCACGATGACGGCCATTGGCAGGTAGAAGGAACACACCGAGGAAAAGACGGCGTAGCCTGCCTCCTCCGTGATGCCGCAGAAGCGCTCGTCAGGGGGCACCGGCTCCTTCCAGCCCAGCAGCGGCCCCACGGACACCACGAGGGCTACGGCCCAGAGCAGTGCCAGGATGGCGGCCGCCTTGCGCTCGGTCATGATGGCGGGGTATTTGAGCGAGTGGCGCACGCCCACGTAGCGGTCCACCGAGATGGTGCAGAGGCTGAGGATGGAGGCCGTGCAGCACAGCACGTCCACAGCGGCCCACACGTCGCAGAAGGCCCGGCCGAAGGCCCAGAAGCCCAGAACCTCCATGGTGGCCGAAAAGGGCAGCACCGTGGCGCTCAGCAGCAGGTCGGCCACGGCCAGGTTCACAATAAAATAGTTGGTGACTGTCTGCAAGTGGCGGTTGCAGGCCACGGAGAGGATCACCAGCAGGTTGCCCGCCACCGCGGTGAGGATGAAGGCGGCCAGGAAGACGCCCACGCCCACGCCCTGCGCGCTCACCACCAGCCCCCCGACGGCCGCCGTGCCGTTCACCTCGCCGCCCGCGCCCGCGCCCCCCGGCTCCCCGGCGGAGCTCCGGTTGTCCTCGCCGCCGCCCGCGCCCACCACGCCGCCGCCGCCGCCGCCCGCGGCTCCCGGCACGCCGCCCACTGCCGGGCCCTCCGAGGCGGCCGCGCCGCCCGCTCCGCCCCCGCCGCCGCCCGCGCTAGAGCCCCCCGCGCTGCTGTCAGGGCGGGGTCCCTCGAAACTGACGCTCAGGAGGTCGCGGAAAGTCATCTCAACGCGCGGCCGTCGGGGGCCGGGCCCGGGCGCAGGACGGGCGACTGGCCAGGAGAGGGGCCCCGGGCATAGCCGCCGGGCTCCGGCTGCAGCGCGGCGCGCGGGTCCCGTCGGGGTCCTGCCGGAGTTCCTGTAGCGCGGGGCGCGGTGGTCCGCGAGAGGAGCGGGGCCGGCGGGGCGGCGGCCGGGACTCCCGGGGCTGGCGGCGGAGTCGGGCCGGAGAGCCGGGGCCGGCGACGCGCGCCGCTCTCTGAGTGTGCCCAGGCGAGCGGGCAGAGCGGCGGCTCAGGGGCCGGGCAGTGCAGGCAAAGCCACTGCGGCGCTCTCGACCGGGCGCGGGGGGCGGGACCGAGGAGGGGCAGCGCCGGGGAGGAGGAGGGGGCGGCCGGCGCCGAGGGAGGGGGCGCCCCACGCGTCCGGAGAAGGGGCAGCGCGAGCCGGGCGAGCGGCAATTCCGGGCTCCGGAGGGGTCGCGGCGCTGGCGCCCGCTCCGACCCCGCGGCAGCCACCCCTGCCCGACCGCGGGTGCCCACGACCGCCCTCTCTTCTCGCCGTCAGCTCCTCGCCCTTTCCCGCGCCGCTCCCGGGCCTCTTCCCCTTTGCCCCTCCGCCGCGTCCCCCTTCCTCCCGCCCTTTTCCCCAGCCTCTCGGTCACTCGTTGGTGCCCTTGGGCGCGCGGAGCGGAGACGGCGCGATTCCCGGGTCCCGGGGCTCCCGGGCTCCCGGCTCCGGCCGCCAGAGAGCAGCAAGCACCTGGGATCTGCGGACTGCGGACCGGAGCGCGCAATACGGCGGCCGTCGCCTCCTGGGACTGCCTGGAGGGATCTGCCGCACCTCCTCACTCCTCTCCGGCCACCGGCCAGGCGAGGGTCTCAAACGCCTCTGTCCAGTGCGGTGGAGTGGGGAGAAGCCCGGGAGGGATCAGATGCCAGCGCTGGTCTGTGATGGAAAAGGAACAAGAGACTATTTGGTTATGGCTCTCGGACCCTGCCCACCACCCATGGGTTTGCATATACCGACTTCTGCATTGTTACTCGCCTCCATGTCAGATGTCGGAATAAAACTTCCTTGTTACACTGAATACGTGGCCTTCTGGGGAGGGAGAGTTTAAGTGCGGGAGGGTGGGAAAGGGCACTTGGCCCGATGGTTAAAGAGTGGGGGGTTGGCAGACTGGCTGGCTCCACATCTGGCTGTGTACCATATGAGCGCTTTGACTTCTTTGTGTCTCAGTTCTTCATCTGTAAAAGGAGGGTAAGAGTAGTGTCTATTTAATGATGTGAACATTAAATTAGTCAGTATGTTGTTACCTCCCGAGAGCAGGGCCTGGGTTTGTTGGCTGCGTGGGACTTGGCAGAGCAGGCCTGGGACAGGGAGGACAGAGGGCAGGCGGTGTGTGGAGGTGCTTTGAACCGGGGACACAGGTGGGGGGTTGGATTTGAGGAGCCTCTTGCTAACTAGCAGGACTGGGTAGGGAGAGACAGAAAGACATAGAATTACTCACCAGGGCGTCATGCTGGACAGGTTAGGTGGCAGGGGAAGGGAATTGCAGGGCAGATAATAGTACCCTATACGTGCAAGATGAGGGGAAGGATAGGGCTGTGGGGGGGGTGGGGGGCTGGGGGGGTGGGGGGGCTGGGGGGGAGAGGTGACGGTCCATTTGGAGAGGTGTCTAGGAAGAGGTGGAGAACTCAGGGCCTTGGTGCCCACTGGCTGTGGATGTCTGAGGGCAGGATGTTGGAGAGACTTAGATGAGAAGGTGCTTTGGAGAAAAAGCAGAAAATGGTGCAAATGTTGAGAGACGGGTACCCGCCCCCCCCCAGGAAGCTAAAGCTCTTAGAGTCCTAGCTTAGAAACAGCTCTTCCAAGGCCCTCAGTTTCCTGATTATGTCTTCCATCTTTTACTTGGGTCTTTGAAAACTTACTATAGAAGAGTAGGCATGAAAGTCAGGGGGGCCGTGGTGACCCTGCTGGTCTTTAGGTTCTTTGTGATCCAGTGGCGAGGCCTGATTTAAGATGGATCCGTAGCACCTGTGTTTCTCTCCGCTCCTTTATGAGACCACTTTAGAGTGAGCATAACAAAAAAGGAGAAGTTCATCCCACAAGAGAGAGGTTAACCCCTAGGCTGATAAACCTGGACTTCAACTCCTGAGAGGTCATGAGGGGTTTGAGGAGATCTGGACCTCCGCCCCTCTTGTGAAGATGGTGCAGGTGGTTGTCACTTGCCGAGTCAGAACGCTGAATGGGACAGAATGCTGATGGAGAAGGCGTTCCTGATGGGTATCCTGTTGTTGGGGACCAGCGGCCCCCAGTTCCCTCCCACCCCACCAACCTTTATTTGTTCATTCAACACAAATTAAACACCAGCTATACGCTGGCGACTGTTCTGGGCACTGGGGATAGGATGTTGAATAAAGCAAAGTCCCTCCTGGGGCTCACGTTCAAATGGCAGAAAGGGTCGCTAAGCGTTAGGAGGAGAGCTGTCCCATTGCTATAGACCGAAGTTTTCTCTGGCTTTGATGTCTGAGTCCTGGAGACTCTCTTCAATCAAAGCTTCAAAGAAAATCCAAATCCAGAGGAACTCTTTCCCGTTACTTCCCCACCTCTGAAGAGCAATGGAATCTGAAAGAGTACAAAATCATGCATGTCATTGGAAGACACGGTTAAAGCTGCCACTTGCCAGATCAGTCCGCTATGAAGAACATGAACATCCATTCTATTCTTCAGCTGCAAATGGGTCTCTTGTCCTAGTCTGATCTTTAAGCTTACTATGGCTTGACCCTACCCCTGGCTACCACCAGACCCATAATCCCGACTGACCCACAACTTCAGCCTTCCTGATGCCCCTAATTGTGTCATTCAGTCCAGTTACATCCTGTGGTCAGGGCTCGGGGCTACCTTCTCTCATCCTCAAGACAGCAGAGTTTGGTGCTTAGGACTGGCACCTGTCGGTGGTCCTGGGTCAGGGAGTATGCGGGGAAAGGCTGTTGTTTGTAGGAAGGAGATACTTGTAATTTATCCTCCTAGCCCCGTCCCTCTGTCAACTGAAGCTGCAGGAGACTTGAGGCCAGTTATGATTTGATTATTTATGCTAATTTTTGCTTAAAATTAATGGACTTCGAGGTTAGTGATTATATCTCCCATCACTGTGGAGATGGAAGAGGTTGGGGTTGGGAGCCAATAGAATGATATCCTACTCAGAGCCTGGCAAGCAGCCCACTGCTCTGTGGACCCTTGGAGTGGCTGTTTGCTTTGCAGCTGTGTTTGCTTCTGCTCCTAAGAGATATTCTTTTGTTTCTTTTTATGTTTTTTTTAGGAGAGGAAATAAGCTGGGAAGCAGGATATTGGACAAAGTTGGAAGACACACTAGGGTGGAAAACTCCCCAAGTGGGGCAGAGATTAGTTGCCGTAGGTTAAAAGCTATACTAAACAACCCCCAAATGTCAGTGGCTTAGCGCAATGAGACTTTAATTCTCATTTACTCAACATCCAGTGTGAATGTACCTGGTTGGCAGCTCTCATGGACAGATCTCCAAGAGGCAGCTCAGGGATCCAGGCTCCTTCCAATGCGTGGCTCCACTTTTTCCCAGAGCCTGGGAGTTCTCCGGGATCCTGGAGACCTCTTCTAAATTTGTCAACATCCAGCTGCCCAAAGAACAGAGGGGTGAGCGTGGAGGATTATGTGGACATTTTAGGAGCCATACCCGATACCTCTGTCTGAGCCCGTGCTCCCGCTTAGATGCAAGGGGGAGATGTGATTCAGCCAAGTGCCCAGGAAAAGGGAACGGATTTGATGACCAGCCAGCCTGTCTGTGTTGCAGGACAGCAAGAGTCCCGGGAAGACTTGATTTGGGCATTAGTGAGGCAATGCCTCATGGGTGGATTGTGAAAAGAGCAGGTAGATTGGCTGCTGTGAACCCCACCCAGCTAAGGGAATCTCTCACCTTCCTTACCTAAAAGTCTAGTCCTATAATTTGGGTCTCCTCACTCCAAGAACCAGTATTTCTCATTACATCACATTTTCTTTGTACCTCCTAGTACAAGTGACATACAAGCCTATTACCTCCTCCGGCCCCTGAGATCAGATTACCCATTGTGGGTAACGCGAGGAGCGGGGAAGACGGTCCCTAGGTATATTCTGTGGGAATGAAAAGAAAGATGAGAAGTTCCAGGGATAAACTTAGCTAACCTGACAATTTCTCTGACCCTCAAACAGAGCGGCAAATGCTAATGAGGGAGATTTCCTAACTCAGAATTAAAATAGGCCAGTCAACTCGGAGGAAGTGGCCTATAATCAACTTGAGAGGCCAGGCAGGGTTGCATGACTCCAATCCCAATTAGGGAGGCTAAGGCAACTCCTGCTGGGATGTCAACCTTCCAGCTCACAAATAAGATGGCCCAAAGCCATTTTCCATTTCCTTTCTCCTGGGCCAAGATTCTCTGGAGAAGACAGTGAAGAAAGGAGGATTTCCCTTGATAATGATTCCCTGGAGGAATGGATGGTGGAGGAAACAAAAAAAAAAAAAAAAAAAAATCCCAAGTATCCCAGGAAAAATATTAGGAAGTGAGACTGGCCTTCCCCACGTTTGTGTTCTCCGTGCCTTATCCCTTGGGCTCCTACCAATTCTCCCTTCCTCTCTCTTCTGTAGGTTAGTCACTGATTCTTGAATCCTCCACTTCCCCATAAATGTAAAATGGTGATAATAACTGTCCCACGTGGGGATTAAGTGTCTGCAAAAATCCCACTCACCTCCTCCTTTGGGTACCCCATTGGCTTTGATTTCTTCCTCGGCAATGCTTTGTAATTTCGTTGTTGACCTGTAGTACCTGGAGATAGGGGCCTTCTTGGGATTTTCAGTGACTGTGACATATCTGTCTCTTTGTGCCCAGCAGCCAGTGCAGGCCTGGGAGTTTGTTCAGTTGGTGGATGAACGTGGGAATCAACAAATGAAGACAGGAAGGACTGCATACCACTGAGTGTCACTGAGGTTTCGAATGTATGGGTGCCAACCTTTTGCAAGAGGCAACTAGGGGGGACTTCACACATTCCGG